TCGTAGAAGCAAGAACAGAAATTGGGATTTAGGGTTTTAAGCTGCAGGACTTGCAATGGTGCTATCAATATGGTGTTTTCGAGAAAAATTTGTAACCGTGGAGGACTTAGGAAAAAGATACGGTACAATACTACAAAATAACTTGTTTTTTCTTGGTCGATTGTGTTGACGTAGAGAAATCATTGATTTTACTCTTTCATTTTTTTGTGTTTGCAGAAGGATATGACAACTATTTCACGTTGAAGATACACTACAGTGGTGTCTTCACCAAAGCACCTGGAAGGAAATACGTTGATGGTGTTGTAGCATATGTAGATGATGTTGACACTGATTTATTTTCAGTTCATGAGCTTGACGACATGGTCCGAGAACTAGGGTACAAAACTGAGCAAACACTTTACTACCATTTCTGTATCCCTGAATACCCTTTGGACTATGGCTTAATGCCTTTAGGTAATGACCAAGATGTACTTAAAATGGTATCATATGTCCCTAAACACAGACTTATTAGGGTGTATATTGAAACTGGTCAGACAAGGGTGGCTAGTTAGTACAAGTCCCCTTCTAAAGTTGTTATTGAAGAGTTGGAGTCTGATAGTGTGTCACTTGAAATGAATAGAAATAAACCTTGTAGGAGAGAAGCAGGATCATGTAGTAGAAAGCTTGATCTGAACAAGTCTATGAACCCTGATTGTGAGCAGTCACAAGTATTAGATGTTGATGAAGGGCATGATTACTCAAAGAGTATTATGCCATTTATAAGGTCACAAGCTAGCAAACAAAGTCATGTCATTCAAGAGGAAGTGGTGAATCATGAAATTGAAACTCAAGAAGAAGTGATCACTAGTGCAGTTGAAACTGGAGAACCATTGGGAACTTACCATGTACAGGAACCAAGCTGCCAAGCTGATGATGGAGCTAATACTGCAACAGTTGATGACTATGAACCATTTATAGAGGATTACTCACTTTATGCTGATTATGATGCTCAGTTTAATGTTCAAACTTCATTTGAACAACAACCAGAAGTGGATTATCTAGAGGGTATGGTGAGTGATGATAGTGGAGAGGCTTTCTATTCTGAGAGTGGCTATGGTTATGAGGATAGTGGAGATGATTCTGATGACAGTGAATACAATGTGGATGAGTCTAACATACAATTTGATGTAGATGTAGACATGAGTGAATTCCATAATGCTGTTGATGTAGATGAACATGGAATCTTGAACAATCATTTCAAAGATGAAGGGAATGACATGGTTGATGATGAGTTGGAAGTTATTGCCACTGATGATTATCAATTTGCAGGATTTCATGAAGATGATAGGAAGAGACTGCTAAAAGAGTTGAGTAAGTCAAGTACATGCTGTCATGGAGAGGTTCATGTAAAACCATTTCATATTGGCCAGGTCTTCAAAACCAAGAGTGATGTTAAAAACTACATGAAGTCACACGCTGTAGCTTCAAGGAGGTCTTTATACCTAGCCAAAAATGATAAAATCCGGATTAGGGTGAAATGTAAAGGTGTTGTAAGTAAGCCATCTAAAGTAGTTGATGGTGGTGGGCCCTCAACTAGAAGTAGGGCAAAGTGCAAGGGTAAAGATGTAATTGCATATAAAGGTATATGTCCATGGGCAGTCCAAATATCGAGGGCTAATGAAAATCAGGATTGGTTGGTGAAAACAGTACATGATGAGCATAAATGTTTGCAAACAAGGGCGGTTAAAGCTTGCACTTCCAGATTCGTAGCAAACTTAATTGTTCAACAAATTCAGAGTAACCCTAAAATTCCAGTGAAAGCTTTACACGAAGAGTTGTGCAAGAAACTAGAGGTAGGAATGTCATTGCAAAAGGTTGCTAGGGCAAAGTCAATGGCTGAACGTATCATTAGTGGGGACTACCAAGTACAGTATGGATTTTTGAGGGATTATGTGTTGGAGCTGCTCAACACTAATCCTGGTACAACAGTTCGGATTGATGTGTATCCAGAAACCTCCCTGTCTATTACCACAAGAACTTTTAGAAGAATATATGTCTGCCTGGGTTAATTGAAGTTAGGATTCAAATCTGGGTTAAGAGATTTTCTAGGTGTGGATGGTACTTTCATGAAGGGCCCTTACCCTGGGCAAGTGTTAACTGCTGTAGGGTTGGACTCAAACAATGACATATACCCTGTAGCATATGCAGTGGTAGAGACAGAATCAACAAGTAGTTGGACCTGGTTCTTGGAACTGTTAGGAGAAGATCTGGATCTTGGAGCAAATTCAAACTTTACATTCATTTCTGATAGACAAAAGGTGTGTATCAACTAACTTTTTTTTTGGTACCATTACTAAATACATTTAGGTAACTGCTGTTGCATACATTGACTTTTGTTTAGGGAATAATACCAGCAATGAAGAAGGTATTCCCTAGTGCAGAACACAGGTTCTGTTTGAGGCATATCCAAGAAAACATGAAGAAACAGTGGAAAGGAAAAGACTTAAGTGACCAACTTTGGGAGTGTGGTAGAGCAACAACAGTAAATCATTTTAACAGAGCAATGGATGAGTTGAAGAAGATCAATGAAGAGGCTCATGCTTGGGTGTGTAAGATCCCAACAAACACTTGGGCTAAATCTCACTTTAGTGGTAAGTTTTTAGAAATTTATTGATAAATGTTAATCTTCCCTGTTGTGTGTTTACTATATGTGTAATTGTCTTATCTTAATATCTATTATTCAAGAAGGGCACATACTGATTGTTTGTTGAATAACCTTTGTGAGGTATTCAATTCTAAGCTAGATGAAGGTAGGGATAAACCTATTATCACTTGCTTAGAGTATATTAGAGAGTATCTCATGAAGAGGTTATGTGTGGTGCAAAAGGAAATAGATAAGTGTGAAGGACTTCTAACCCCTACTGCAACTACAGTGTTTGAAAAGATTACGACTGATGCAACTAAGTATGTGGCTAAATACAATGGGGCAGGAAAGTACCAAGTGGCAAGCACATGGCAAGACCAGTATGTGGTAAACTTGAATGACCAAAGTTGCACTTGTAGGTTTTGGGAGATTATAGGTTTCCCATGTAGACATGCTGTTTGTGCTATATGGGACAAAATTGAAAATTGTGAAAATGCCCCACATGTTGATGAATGGGTCCATCCTTGCTATAGGTTATCAACATGGAAAGCCATGTATTTCAACAAAATTGATCCATTGAATGGGCGTTCAATGTGGCCTAAAAGTGACTGCCCATTCACTTTACTTCCACTAAAACATAAAACACAGGTTTGTATTTCAACTAGACTAAATATATAGTATACATGTGAACATGGAATGAATTCAATTTTAACTATAGTATATCAATATGTGTAGGTTGGGAGGCCTAAGAAGAAGAGAAGGAGGGGTGTTGATGAGCCAAACAGCCAAGCTGGTAGATTGAGCAGGAAATATTTGGCAGTCACTTGTTCAAAGTGTCATAACAAAGGGCACAATTCCAGAACATGTAAAGGGCAGGGAGGCAGTGGTGAAGTTGGAGGGGGCTGAAAACTATTTTTAGTAGTTATTAGGATGCTTGTGTTGTAGGTCTTTTGAAACTTAAGTCATGTGTACTTGTTTGAAGATGTGTTAAGAACTTGAAAACTTTGCATGTAATGCTTGTGTTGTAGGTCTTTTGAAACTTAAGTCATGCTTGTGTTGTAGGTCTTTATTTGTCTTGAAACTTAGTATGATGGTTGTGTTAAGAACTTTAAAACTTTGCATGTAATGGTGTGTATGCACATTTTGGTAATGAATTAACATGTTTTGTGTACTACCCTTCACATATCAATTAATAACATTGTACATTTCAATTGCAAATGAAAACATTCAAGAAATTGAACAATCAACTATAACAAACTACATTCTATTATTATTACTATTACCACTCCATTACACATTAATCTGATACATAAACCAAATACAACAACACCAACTCCAAAACCCCCTACATAAACTGAAAGCAAAAAAACCCCTACTCGATTAAAATAAAAAAAAACCCTTGCAATGGTTACAAACCAAAAACCAAAACTCCATTACCATCCAAACTTTCACAAGATACTTAGAGATTAAAATAAAACCAAAAAAAGAACACCCATGAACAAAACAACATCAATCGGTAGTTACACAATTCTGCACTCACAATGGCAACCCTCTCTTCCAATCGGTTCATTGATCTTATCAAACCTGGAATCACCACCAATGCCGTAGCACACATAGGAGGATCAGACCATCGAAGGAACCCACATCTTGTACAGTTCCAAAATTGTCTTCCAGGGTTACGATCCGTCCATGAAGTGATCTTCATTGCTTCATTCCCACATCTGCAAGTCACCATCTTTGAATCAGAAGCGATTGGATGTCGTGAAGGGTGCAACGGTCGAGCAACAGTGGAAGGGAGAAGAGAGGAGATGACGACTGATAAAGGTAAAGCGTTTGCCCAAAAATCAGACATGCAATGTCTTTTAAAGAGAGAAGGTTACAACTGAAATGACGAAATTACCCCTGCAATATTTTATTAAAAAATGAGTTAACGGTGAAATGCTAACGGAGTGAGCCGGAAGGACCAAATGTTAAAAGTTTTGAAACCACAGGGACTATCTGTGAGGTTTTTTGAACTTAGGGATTAAACTTGATATTTCTAAAAACCACATGGACCAATTTTAAAGTTTTGTCTAATGTAAATAATACAGCACAAACAGATACTTTAAGGAATTAAACTACAATACTCGAAACTCCAGGGACCTCATTTAACAACTAACCAATAAGTGCATGAGGAGGCGACACAACACGAGATCCATCCCTATTGGCTACAACACCCATACTTGAAATTTGATTGGTCCACGTCATCATCGATGACATGAAATCGAGTGTCTTCGCGAGAGACCCGAACAAATTCAACGCGCTTCTATGTAAGCGATGTACAACACGCGCGCTTTTATGTATATAAATTCCCTCCCGCACAGATCTGATTTGTAAAATAGAAACCTTCCGTTTCAAAGCTCAAAACCCTTTCCATTACGCCGATTATCAAAAGAGCATAAAAGCTAGCGAGCAGAGTGGTGAAGCATGGGTCGCGCCGGCATCCTGCTAGCGATCATCTTAATTGGTAATGTTTTCAGATCTTGACTTGTTATGTTGCTACTGTTTTTTTGATATTGTGTATGAAACTATGAATCTAGTATATATATGTGACAAATGTAGTTTTAGTTTTGATTTGCATCTTTGCTTGTTTATTGTGACATCGTTTGTAGTTTCAGTGTGGTTTGGATTCGGTTTTTGAGATCTGAGAAAAGTTTGGGGTTTTCGTTTCGAATATGTTTGAATTTCAGCTCGTATTGATGTTTACATTGTTGATTAGTGTTGTTCTTTGTGTTATTAATCTTAAGTAGATAAATCGTTTTGTGATCGTAAAAGAGAGTTTTTCTACTTGAGTGTTTATTGTCGATATAGAGATTAGCGATTGACATTTCTCAATTACTATGATTTTTGATCGTTTTTTTGTTTAATTCAATTTCTATACACTGATCTGGATTATACGCGGCCCTAAACATAGAGTTATTGAGGTGACTTTGGAAATACACAGGGGCCAGCCACGTGTCACATTGACACATTCTAACAACTCATTCGTGTAAATTGTTAGATGAAATTTTGAATCAATTGATATCCTCTGGAATCGGAGCAAATTACTATTGACATGCTTTTACATCTAATACAAGTTTTTGTTGGTTAGGTTACGGTTTGTAGTGGAGATCTGGATACCAACTTGTATCGTGATATCACTTTCCGAACTGATATTTCTACCCTATGCCTGGGTTACAAGAAATTCAGCCTAGGATAGTCCAAGTGGACACTTACGTTGCTTTGGAAGCAAGTATTATTATTAGGGTTACCAAAACTAACGAGTTTCGTTAGTTTTATCATAATCACCCTCAAGAAATTGAGTTTTCCATTATGTTCCCTCAAGAAATTGAGTTTTCCATTAAGCCAATATGCTAAAGGGTTTCAGCGGGACCCCAGCCAGGGGCTCTGCCCCTTGGACCCCGCTAGGGGCGCTGCCCCTCGACCCCGCCAAAGGGGCGCTGCCCCTTTGGAAACCCCGGACCCGGAGGCGCTGCCCCCGGACCCCCGACTAGTTGTCGAACCGGCTTCTGATTTGATCTTATACATGCGTGCACTCCGCACAACACCGTACATATATTAGAGTACAAATCATGAAGCCCCTTAGCTCACATGTTAGTTCCAGTTACTTAAAATGACATGGTGACACTAAAATCATCAACAGTTTTTACCATAATTAGCGTAGTATGTCTATGTCCTGGTTAATTTCGAATTGATTGTCTCATGTCTTTGCAATTAACATCATATTTCCTTTCATGTTTTGGATTCTCGATAACAAATGAAAGATGAGTTACATTAATATACTAACCTTAATGTGTTACAGGTTGCCTATCTGCAATTTCCATTGCAAAAGAAGAAGCCAACAAGTTAGGAACTGTTATTGGGATCGATCTTGGAACTACCTACTCGTGTGTTGGTGTTTACAAGAATGGCCATGTCGAAATCATAGCCAATGACCAAGGAAACCGTATCACTCCATCATGGGTGGCTTTTACAGACTCTGAGAGGCTGATCGGTGAAGCAGCAAAGAATCAGGCACCTATAAACGCAGAGAGAACCATCTTTGATGTCAAGAGACTCATCGGGAGAAAGTATGAACTTTTCCAATCTGCTTGTTGTTTAGATATCAGAAATCATGTTTCTTCCCAATGTTGAGCAATTTATGTTTGTGTGACAGGTTTGAGGACAAAGAAGTCCAGAGGGATATGAAACTCGTCCCCTACAAACTCGTGAACAAAGATGGAAAGCCGTACATCCAAGTTAAACTTTCCGGTGGGGAAACAAAAGTTTTCAGTCCTGAAGAGATCAGCGCCATGATTCTAACCAAAATGAAGGAGACAGCCGAAGCATTCTTGGGAAAGAAGATCAAGGACGCAGTTGTTACAGTTCCAGGTTAGTAAAACAACAGAATTTACTTTTGTACCCTTGAAGAACGATGTCCTTCAAACTGTTTCTTTACTTCTCCGATTCTTCCTTCCTACAGCATACTTCAACGACGCCCAAAGACAGGCAACAAAGGACGCCGGTGTGATTGCTGGTTTGAACGTTGCCAGAATCATCAACGAACCCACAGCTGCTGCCATCGCATATGGTCTTGACAAGAAAGGAGGAGAAAAGAACATTCTTGTATTCGACCTTGGTGGTGGAACCTTCGATGTCAGTATCTTAACCATCGACAATGGCGTTTTTGAGGTTCTTTCAACAAACGGTGACACCCATCTTGGAGGCGAAGACTTTGACCAAAGGATCATGGAGTACTTCATCAAACTAATCAAGAAGAAGCACGGAAAAGACATCAGCAAAGACAACAGAGCTCTTGGAAAGCTGAGAAGAGAAGCCGAGCGAGCCAAAAGAGCCTTGAGTAGCCAACATCAAGTCCGAGTCGAGATTGAATCGCTTTTTGACGGTGTAGATTTCTCAGAGCCGTTGACCAGGGCCAGATTCGAAGAACTCAACAACGACTTGTTCAGGAAAACCATGGGACCCGTCAAGAAGGCCATGGACGACGCCGGTTTACAAAAGAGCCAAATTGACGAAATTGTCCTCGTCGGTGGAAGTACCAGAATCCCAAAAGTCCAACAGCTTCTAAAAGATTACTTCGATGGAAAGGAACCAAACAAAGGTGTGAACCCCGATGAGGCCGTCGCTTTTGGCGCCGCCGTACAGGGAGGTATTTTGAGCGGTGAAGGTGGTGACGAAACTAAAGGTAATCCCGTAATTCAATTCTTTTCTTATTATTACGAATTATATATTAAAAATAAAATTATATTCTGACAAATAAATGTATGCTACTACTAGATATTCTTCTTTTGGACGTGGCACCTCTTACTCTCGGAATCGAAACCGTTGGGGGAGTGATGACGAAATTGATCCCAAGAAACACAGTCATTCCAACTAAAAAATCACAAGTCTTCACAACTTATCAAGATCAACAAACTGTTGTTTCCATTAAAGTCTACGAAGGTGAAAGAAGCATGACAAAAGATTGTAGACTTCTCGGAACATTCGATCTCTCTGGAATCCCACCGGCTCCAAGGTTAGTGACCTGTTTGTCAATATTTTTGTTTTTCAGGGGCTAAACTTAAACTTAAACTTAAAAACTAAACATAATTGATTGTATTTTCAGGGGAACACCACAAATTGAAGTGACATTTGAAGTGGACGCGAATGGTATATTGAACGTGAAGGCAGAGGACAAGGCTTCTGGTAAATCAGAGAAGATAACAATTACAAATGAGAAAGGGAGATTGAGTCAGGAGGAGATTGAACGAATGGTTAGGGAGGCAGAGGAGTTTGCTGAAGAAGACAAAAAGGTGAAGGAAAAGATTGATGCCAGAAATGCCCTTGAGACTTATGTCTACAATATGAAGAATCAAATTGGTGATAAGGATAAATTGGCTGATAAGCTTGAGAGTGATGAGAAGGAGAAGATTGAGTCGGCAACAAAGGAGGCGCTTGAGTGGTTGGATGAGAATCAGTCGGCTGAGAAGGAGGAGTATGATGAGAAGTTGAAGGAAGTTGAGGCTGTTTGTAATCCTATTATTACAGCTGTTTATCAGAGGTCTGGTGGGGCTCCAGGTGGTGGAGCTGAGTCAACGGAAGATGATGATGAACACGATGAACTTTAGGTTTTTTTTTTTTTTTTTTTTTTTGGGATGGAAAAGATAGAGAGAAGAAGATAGGGTTGGTAGTATAATTTTGGTTTTTTTATATGAAAGTGAAGGAACTTTTGCTTCACTTTGGATTATTATATTTTGTTTTTGTTAAAAAGTGAAGAACTTTTGGATCTGTATCATTTGACGCCTAAAAAACTTGGTTTATGTTTACTGCTATTTTTAGCACACTAGATTTGGTTGAACTTATGTCGTCTGATTATTATGTGGTAAAATATATAAAATTGTATTTCTGTAATGCAAGTCAACCCGTGAAATTCAAGTCTCAAATCAAGTTTTAAGCTTTGAGGTTTTAATTTGAGTAAGCTCGCTATAACAAAATACTGTCTCTATAAAGCTCACTATACCAAAATACCGCCTCTATAAAAGTTCTTTAAAATGTTTGTGATACCATGACGGGTAAAGGAGATATGGAAGAAATTTGGGGAAAATTGTTGTGTGTAGGGGCAAATATCGAAAACTATTTTAAATATTTCCTCTCATGGTCCATGGTGTGTACTATGTGGGCCAGATACGGTAGAAACTTAAACTATTCTTCACATAGTGTTTAGGTGCAAATATACTTAAAAGACTTATTTACATTGTGTGTTTGAAATTTTCTTATTGAAGTAAACAGAGAGAAAAATGCACTAAAATAAAAAAGCCCTAATGCATCAAACAAATCAAAAATCCGAATCACGGAGATTTACGTGGAAAAACCCAAATCGGAAAAAAAATCACGAGTGGAGGAAGCCGAGAAGCAATGCACTAAAATATTGCAATGTTTACAGAGTTTGATCGAAGAGATTACAATGAACTATAATGATTTGGTGATAAACGGGTTGAAAACCTAGAAAATGTATTTGCGTTCATTCAGGTTAAAAGCGAAAATATTTTACCAATTTGGCTAATTTGATCCTTCAAGAATGGAGCATTTACATTTCAGGAACAAATCATTTTTAGACCTGAAACACTCATTTTAGACCTGAATTGTTGGAAAGACAAAATAACCCTTGAACTAAGAAACACTTGTCAATTTTTGAAGACATATTTCCACAATCTCCACCTTGACTTCAAAATAGACAAAATGAGAATTGTAAAAATGCTTAACCATCAGACAAGAAAACCAACAACTCATCAAACTCCAAAAAAACTCTATAAGAACCTGCAATCACCATGTTAACACGTTGCCGCAGGCGTATTAAGCAAATAATATAATCACTGTTGGTTGCACTAATGGATAACACATGGAAGCAGAGTCGAATCTTCAGGTACACAGCCTAACGGTCAATGCTTTTTTTTGCATCAAACACATTCTAGTCAGTAAACATAAAATATGAAAATGGGATTTTGATTATTAACTAAAACTAAACTTGTAGTGAAAATAAACTAAATAAAACTCGGTAATAAAACGAATTCATTTCTGTTTTAACTTTCCTAATCATGCAATCAGCCCAGATCTGGTTATTCAGAATGTGTTCTATCTAAACTGGTACTGAGAAAAACTAACAAACTCTAGTATAATCTCTTTTACCTAATTAGTTAACCAAAACAAACTCTTTGAATTAACCCTAATTTTTTACTTTTCAATTAAACAAGCTTTTAATTAAATCAGAAAAGCAGCTTTATGATCTGTGTAAAATTCCCATCAATATCCAATACTTCTCACAAGCCCGGAAGCGTAAAGATATGATTTTTACAATTTATACCAGAGTTAAATCCCTAACACTGAACCAATCTGATACTTGTTACCTATTACTAGATGACAAGAACAATTACAGATATTAACTGATTAACTGGAATGATAAAACCCTAGCTAGGTGATTAGACTAATAAAAATTAAAATCAAATGTTCATTAAACTCAAAACTGAAAAATCTAGATAGAAACACAAATAAAAAACCAAATCTGAAAACTAATCACATGAAAAGTACTAGTGAAATGCAGAACTGAAAACTAGGGTTTTAGCCAGAAATGGCTAAAAACGAATCTAGACTAGTAACAAGAAACATTTACTGATTAATCTTGCTAAACTAAATATATGAGATGATTCACAATCTTTAGATCTTCAGAAAGTGCTGAAAAAGTGTTAGAAATCACCTTCAGAAGGGTATTTCGTCGTCTGGAACCGTCTAACCTTCGAATCTGATCATGAAGGTCATATTTATAAACAAGATAGAAGCTTTCGAAACAAGTTGGCAGAAAATGCGATTGCAGATATCAGATATGCGATCGCAGAAATAGTGATTTTTTTTTCCATATTTGCAATTAAATGAAGTATGATGCTATTTATGAAGTTTTTGGAGCTGCGTAAGAAAAATGAAATCGCATAAATGATATATGTGATCGTAGAAATTGATTTTTTTTCTCCAGATGACTTTTTTCAACCTTACATGTAACATTCATCATCCAGGTAATTTACAATTTTGACCCTTATATATGAAATTTGTTGCAAAATTTGTCTCAAGTAGCATTTAAGTGAAAAGTATGGATCAGTAACATACGATGGGCGTACTCTCATGTATGTTGGGTGTAACACCCGGAATCTAGAAGATTAATTATGGAAATAAATTCTCTTTTCTAGGGATCAACACGGTGAGTTGATGCTGGGAAACTCGACGTGTTGGAGGCTTTTGGGACGCGCGTTTTTATGAACCAACTCGGCGAGTTGGACGCTGATTGAAATATCCCAAAAATACGGTCCAAAAATTTCGTTTTTAAATCATTATTAAAACCATAAATATCATCACCATAATATAAAATCATAAACCATGTATCTCAAAATATCATAATATCTGTCAACATATCAAAATCTCATATCAAATATCAGAGTAAATCTCCCAGGCTAGAAAAACTGTGGTGTGTGCCATGCGATCTGTGACACCAGTCAAATTTTGGTCAAAAATAAATTGATCAATAATCGTAATTGGGATAAACCAAGTGGTAGAGTTTGTAACAAGGTTTCCAAAAACATAAAGAACACTGAAATCCGAGTTATAACGAAGAAGTTATGATCAATCGAAAATCCGCGATAAAACCGGCAAAACATTGTTCAGTGTAAAAAGCGAATTTTCGATAAAAGGCTTTTTAGCCTTAACAATCTAAATGAAAGCTGTAGATTATGTTAAACCGAGAACGTTCATAAAAAGAACGTCAAAATCTGACTTCGTATGAGGAAGTTATGATTTTTCTAAGTTTCGGTTTAGCAGTAGACAGCTAAAAATTCGAAATATAAATCGATCGATATTTAGCCGACGCAACTTAAACGAGAATTGAAGGTTTCGTCAAAAGTAGCACAACGGTAAAAAGACAGACGAAAACGGACGTCGGATGAAGAAGTTATGAATTTTTAACGGATTTTCTGTCCCGGTCTGTTAAAAATAATAATATTAAAAATAAATTCAAAATCAGCTGACGAAGTCTAAATGAAAGTCGTAGAGTATGATTTTACCTACGCGTGCATATAAAGAACGTCAAAAACGGAGCTCGTATGCGAAAGTTATGAATTTCGCAAGTTTTTGGCACAAAAATCGAGAATTTGTGGATAACCGGGAAATTTCACATGAGTCATCTCGGACACGTCACCCTTCGCATGCGAGGCCTCCACGTGTTCGCTTCTCATTGGACCGCAGCCTCGCGTGGCAGCTCCTGATTGGTCCGAAGTCGTCATGCTCCTTCTCCTATTGGACCGAAGTCCGGTCCAGTCCGAAGCCTCCACCTGTCCGAGCCTCGCACGTGGACCTCGCTGCTGACCGACGCGTGGCTGCTGACTCCTCGCCTTCTCCTCACTAGGTGTCCGAACCCTAGCCAGCTGTCCTCCTCGGCCGAACCCTCGCACCCCTATATAAAGGGTGCGAGCCTTCTCGGATGAAAAGGGTTTTTCACCCCATTTTTCACCTAAATTCACATTTTCACCCCCTCGACTTTCTCACGACCCCCCAAGGCCCCGGTATCGTGTCTAAAGCCCGAAGCAAGCCCCGGAGCCCCGGAATTCTCGAGAAGTTATCCTCTCTCCAGTCGAAACTCTGCTCGGTTTGAGCCGGTTTCTCGTCAAACAAACTCTTTCCGGGAAACGAAACGCTGCCCGAATCACCGCTTATCAAAGTGAGTTCATACCCCTATAATTTACCTTTTTAATGGTTTTTAAATGCTTTTTTTTGGGGGGGGGGGAATACAAGTTTAACACAATATTAAATTGTGTTAATATCTGTATGTGATATTAATCACACAAAGAGTTTCTGTATGCTTTTAAGAATTACCAAATACTTCCAAAATAACTTAAAGCCATGTTAAATCTTTAAAGTCATGTAAACTCCGTAAAATTCTTTGAAAAAGGTTTTTATAAACTATTTCAAATTATAATCACCAAAATTCATGTTTATATATGTATAGGTATATAAATAAGATTTGAAGGGCTTAGGACTAATGAATTTCCTTGTTTCCTTTTCCTTGTTTGGATGTGGAGTTAAGGTGGTGTTATTTGTCCGAAGGTCGTTTTCTTCTTAATTATATATATATTATACATATATAAGTATAAAAGGTTACTCCTTTTAGTATCATTACCTTTGTATCAGGCTGAGCAAAGGTGATCATCCATGAGAAATCATGCTAATCAGATAGAACATATAAATTATAATAGGTATAATTTATGATTCAAAACTAAATATACAAGTATGATTCACGACTGTATACTTTCCAAGGAAATTACCAAAATTCAATCAACTATACCAAGATATGTATAATACCTTTAATATACGAACAACATATTAAAGAAGTAAAGATACATTCTACCGGGTTTGCATTAACAAAGGTACTATACAAAGTACCAGAGTTAGCAAACACGAGGTAATAATACATTCTACCGGGTTTGCATTAGCGAAGGTACTATACAGAGTACCAGAGTTAGCAAACACGAGGTAATAATTCATGATTCAAGTATACTAGAATACACTGTCTTACAAGAAACCAGAGTTTTGACTCAGAACAAATCAAGGGTTTACACTTATCAAATACATGTTTGGAATACTAATTCAAGAACATACTGTCAATCATTTATTTCAGAATGATTAAGTTTTCATAATTAAGAGAACATACTGTCAATCATTTATTTCAGAATGATTAAGTTTTCATAATTAATATACATGTAACGTTTATATGCTTTTTATGAGACGTTCAATTCAGGTT